GGCGGCCCTCCAAGGTCATGTACCCGGCCCTCACTCAGGGTCAAACTAAGTCTGAAATGACTTGAAAGCACACAACAACAATCCCATCTCATCAGCCAAAAGTAGGCCCACACTTCCCATTGAAATACTAATAATTTTATATTTGTTGAAATTGTTCTTCATTTTAATTATTGTATTGTTTTTAAGTGTTTTTTGCACTACAATATGATATGTACAGTGTGCATAGGAATTCATTCATTTTTTAAAAAATTATAATCCGGCCCTCCAACAGTTTGAGGCTGTGACCTGGCCCTCTGTTTGAAAAGTTTGAGGACCCTTGGTCTAGAGGCATTCTCTTCAGACGTTTTGCCTGCATCTATGGCAAGCATCCTCAGAGCTAGTGAGGTTTGTTGGAACTAGGAAAAAGGGTTTATATATGTGTAGAATGACCAGGACTCTTGTCTGCTGGAGCTAGTGTTAATTGTACTTTTGTCCATGTTTTATTATTAACCTTCAATGTGAGAGAGCTGTTTCAGCAGTGGAACTCTCTGCCCCGGAGTGTGGTGGAGACTCCTTCTTTGGAAGCTTTTAACAGAGGCTGGATGGCCATCTGTCAGGGGTGATTTGAATGCAATATTCCTGCTTCTTGGCAGAATGGGGTTGGACTGGATGGTCCACGAGGTCTCTTCCAACTCTTTGATTCTATGATTCTATGATGATGATGATGATTATTATTTACTAAGAGCTGAGAAAAAACAAGGAATATCTCTTAAAATTTTCATAAGTGTGAGTGTCCTGGGCTCTTTATGGTCCTTGTGTAGATAAGCTCCATTGGATTAGAGGAACTTGCTGAACGAACCAAAGGGATCCTGCGTGTCACCATCAGTCCTAGAACTAGAACGAGATCTGCAATCTCATCCTAGCCGGCCAAAGGAGAAGAAAGGTGACGCCAGCTTCTACCAGCAGCCCAGACAAGGCAAAGAGGAGGGATGCAAAATGATCTCCCCTGGGAAGGAGGGGGTGAAGGAAGTGTCTGCATTCGATCCGGAAAGCTGCCACAGCAACGGAAAGAAAGCCCAGCTGGCTCACTCAGGTTTTTGTTTACCAGGCCACAGCAACAGCTGCCGCCACTGCCCACCAAACAGAACAGCGTGGGGCTGGCCGGTCACATAGAATCATAGAATCCGAGAGTTGGAAGAGACCTCATGGGCCATCCAGTCCAACCCCATTCTGCCAAGAAGCAGGAAAATCGCATTCAAAGCACCCCTGACAGATGGCCATCCAGCCTCTGCTTAAAAGCTTCCAAAGAAGGAGCCTCCACCACACTCTGAGGCAGAGAGTTCCACTGCTGAACAGCTCTCACAGTTAGGAAGTTCTTCCTAATGTTCAGATGGAATCTCCTTTCTTCATTGTTTGAGTCGACAGCGCTCTGGATTTAGTTGAACTACAACTCCAAAACTCAAGGCCAATGTCCACCAAACTCTTCTCATATTTTCTGTTGGTCATGGAGTTCTGTGTGCCAAGTTTAGTTCAATTCCATCATTGGTGGAGTTCAGAATGCTCTTTGATTGTAGGTAAACTATAAATCCCAGCAACTATATCTTGAGCCCCTTCAGGGTGAGAAGGGCGGCATATAAATGTCATAAATAAATAAATAAACGAAGAAACAAACTACCAAATACTGGCTACCAGTATTAAAAAAACTCTAAAATTGCAACAGCACAACAACAGAGAGGAAGCAGGCAGGACATCTAATTACCTCTCAGCAAAAGTTTGCTCCAGGCACAGCCAGGCCATTGTATGCTAATCAAGGCGGTCAGTTGAAACATTCACACCTAGCTCCAGCAGACAAGAGTCCTTTGTCTCACCCTGGTCATTCCACAGATATATAAATCATTTTTCCCAGGTCCAACAGACCTCACTACCTCTGAGGATGCTTGCCATAGATGCAGGCCAAACGTCAGGAGAGAATGCCTCTAGACCATGGCCATATAGCCCGAAAAAACCTACAACAAACAACCCAGTGATTTTGGCCATGAAAGCCTTTGACAATACAGACTACCAAATGTCAAGGTCTATTTTCCCCAACATTTACCAGTGTCCACATTTGGGCATATTGAGTATTCGTGCCAAGTTTGGTCTTGATCCATCATTGTTTGAGTGCACAGTGCTCTCTGGATGTAGATGAACTACAACTCCAAAACTCAAGGTCAATGACCACCAAACCCTTCCAGTATTTTCTGTTGGTCATGGGAGTTGTGCATGCCAAGCTTGATGGGGTTCAGAATGCTCCGATTGTAGGTGAACTATGAATCCCAGCAACTACAACTCGAAAATGACAAAATCAATCCCCTCTCCATTGGTGTGAGATTTGCATGACCCCGCCCACTGCCTCTCCCTTAACCCTTTCCGATTCTTTTCTATGGCGCATAGCAAATAGAGGAATTGATCAGAAACTGCACATACTAGAGAGGTTTGGGGAGAATTCACCATGATTTATAGGACTTGTATGTACTGGGATGTATAGTTCACCTGTAATCTAAGAGCACTCTAAACTCTACCAGCGATGGACCTGGACAAAATGTGGCATACAGAATCCCCATAACTAGCAAAAAATACTTGCGGTCTTTGGGGAAAATTCATCTTGATTTGGGGGAGTTGTAGTGCACCTACATACAGTGCGAACTATGAACCCAAAAAGTCATGGATCTGGAACAAACTTGGCATGCATACCTGACATGCCCAAAATTTGAATCCTGGTAGGTTTTAAGAGGAATTGGCAAGGAAATTTTGGAGTTGTAGGTCCTGGGATGTATAGTTCACCTGCAATCAATGAGAACTCTGAACTCCATCAAAGATGGAATTGGACCAAACTTGGCAAACAGAGCCCCCATGACCAGCAAAAAATACTAGAGGTCTTTAGGGAAAATTTCCCTTGATTTGGTGGAGTTGTAGTTCACATACATCCAGAGAGAAACGTGAATCCAAACACCAATGGATCTTTACCAAACTTGACACACAGACCTGATATGCTGAAATTTGACTACTGGAGAGGTTTGGGAGGAATTGACTTTCCTTTTTCGGAGTTGTAGTTCACCCACAAACAGAGAAACAGTGACTCCACCGATGATGGACCTGGACCAAACTGGGCACACAGAACCCCATGACTAATTCAACCTATTGGAGGAGTTTGAGGGGACTGATCCACCATAGTGGGAGTTGTAGTTTACCATACAGCCAGAGAGCACACTGAACCCCACTGATGATGTGTCTAGAGCAAACTTGCCCAACATGACAAACTTGAAGTACTGATGGAGTTTCTCGGGGTTATCCTTGCATGATAGGAGTTGTAGTTCACCCCCAACCTTATGCATTTTGTACAATTACAAAATTGAGTTTTCCAAATAGCCTGAGCAATGCCAGGTCCCCAAGCTAGTAATAATAATAATGATGACAATAATAATACTGATAATAATGACAACAACAACTTTCTACCCACGTCTCCCCAAGGATGAGGAGTAGAACAGCAACACACACACACACACACACACACACACACAAATTAATATAATATAATATAATAACATATATATTATATATTATTATATATGTACTATATAATATTAATATTGTGCTATGGCAATAATATAATGTATTGTATTTCCTTTTTACTTGTAAGCCGCTCTGAGTCTCCTTCAGGGTGAGAAGGGCGGCATATAAATGTCGTAAATAAAATAATAATAAATAATAACATATTAAAATTCAACATGAACCATCAGTTAAACTACAACTTTCTACTCACATCTCCTCAAGGATGAGGAGGAGAACAGCAACATATAGATATATATTGTATTATTATATATAATAACATATATTATATTATATTATAACATATATACTATATATTATATATGTAATATATAATATTAATATTGTGCTATGGTAATAATATAATATATTGTATTTCCTTTTGACTTGTAAGCCACTCTGAGTCTCCTTCAGGGTGAGAAGGGTGGCATATAAATGTTGTCAATAATAATAAATAATAACATTAAAATTCAACATGAACCATCAGTTAAACCACAACTTTCTACTCACATATCCCCAAGGATGAGGAGGAGAACAGCAACATACAGATATATATTATATTATTATATATAATAACATATATATTATTATATATGTAATATATAATATTAATCTTGTGCTACGGCAATAATATAATATATTGTATTTCTTTTTTTACTTATAATGCAATACAATACTACTACTAATAATATGATATTTTAAGTATATATTTTATATTACATGTAATATTACCAATAATATTACAATATAATGGTATAGTACAATATAGTAATATAGAATAATGATATTGTACTATGATAATAATAAAATATATATTGTGTGTGTGGGTATATATACATATATATCTTGTAAACCACTCTGACTCCCCTTTGGGGTGAGAAGGGCGGCATATAAATGTTGTAAATAAAATAATAATAAATAATAACATATTAAAATTCAACATGAACCATCAGTTAAAAACATTTACACCAATTGCAACCTCAGTTTAAAACACCACATAAGAGCAATGCATTTAAAAGAAGCAGGGCAGGACACAGTTTAAAATTTCTAATTTAAAAATCATCTGGATAGGCCTGCTTGAAGAGATGGGTCCTTGCTGCTGTTTTATATTCAATGCATTCAGCTGTCAAATGTCTTCCAGCAGGCCATTCCACAACCGAGGGATGGCTTGAAGAAAGGGTTCTCTTGCCCAGATTCTCAACTAACAGCAGCCAGAACTGCCATGTTCCCAATCACATCTGAGCCAATCACACCTGGAAACATCAAACACGACAGCATTAAATGCTTCCACGAATTTACAAAGTCCAGCTTGTGCTCTACCAAGTGGGGAAATGTCATAAGAGAAACACAAGGAAGCTATGCAAGCACTGTATGCAGTTTGTATGGCATTATACAACTCAGTGTATACACCCAAAACAACTCCAAAAGCCTACCTTCTGTAAGCTGGAGGAGTTCAGCTGCGTCTTGTCGATTATTTTCACAGCAACCTGAATGGAACAATATGCAGAAAGATAACATTAGGGTTGCCTGTTGATTGAAGCGGATAAAAAATAATAAAAACCCACATCATGCCACCTTGGACATTTATTCAAGGGACAAACATACTGCCTTTTCAGCTAGATATTTGAGTAAGTTATCTTAAATTACAGTTTTATGTAAACATTCAAAAATATTTAACCTACGGATGCTTCAATTAATGTAATTTAATTGGTATCTATTTTTATTTTGAAACAAGGTGGAACTGTCTTCCTGGCCCCCTCTCTTCATATAGTATTGTATGATTATGATTATTATATTGTATTACATTACAATATTATCATTATTATATGTATACACAATATATTATATTATTAGCACAGTGCAGGAGACAAGGTGGAACTGTCTTCCTGGCCCCATCTCTTCACATAATTATAGTATTGTATTATTATTATTATTATTATTATTATTATTATTATTACATTATAATATTATCAATATTATATGTATATACAATGTATTATATTATTTTATATTATATTATTAGCACAGTGCAGGAGACAAGGTAGAACTGTCTTCCTGGCCCCATCTCTTCACATAATTATAGTATTGTATTATTATTATTATTATTATTATTATTATTATTATTATTACATTATAATATTATCAATATTATATGTATATACAATGTATTATATTATTTTATATTATATTATTAGCACAGTGCAGGAGACAAGGTAGAACTGTCTTCCTGGGCCCCCTCTCTTCATATAATTATAGTATCGTATTATTATTAGTAGTATTATATTGTATTACATTATAATATTATTAATATTATATGTATATGCAATATATGGTATTATATTCTTAGCACAGTGCGGGAGACAAGGTGGAACTGTCTTCCTGGCCCCCTCTCTTCATACAATTATAGTATCATATTATTATTATTATTATTATTATTATTATTATTATTATGTATTACATTATAATATTATCAATATTATATGTATATACAATGTATTATATTATTTTATATTTTATTATTAGCACAGTGCAGGAGACAAGGTAGAACTGTCTTCCTGGGCCCCCTCTCTTCATATAATTATAGTATTGTATAGTATTGTATTAGTAGTATTATATTGTATTACATTATAATATTATTAATATTATATGTATATACAATATATTATATTATATTCTTAGCACAGTGCGGGAGACAAGGTGGAACTGTCTTCCTGGCCCCCTCTCTTCATACAATTATAGTATCGTGTTATTATTATTAGTATTATATTGTATTACATTATAATCTTATCAATATAATATGTATATACAATGTATTATATTATATTATATTACATTATATTATATTATATTACTAGCTATCCCCTGCCATGTTTTGTGTGACCGAGTCTGTGCTGTTGTGTTTTGTGTGTATATATATTTGTGTGTATTATGTGTATATATGCGTGCTTGCATGTATATGTGTGTGTGCGCGTGTGTGTGGTTTTGCGCATGTGTTGTAATATATTTTTTGTTTTATGCCCTGTGTGGGAGAAAGAACTCTTGTCTGTTGGAGCTAGGTGTGAATGTTTAAATTGGCCATCCTGGTTAGCATTTGATGGCCTGACAGTTTTTAGATGTAGCTTGTTACTGCTGGGGGAATCCTTTGTTGGAAGATGATTAGCTGTCCCTGATTGTTTCTTGTCTGGAGTTCCCATGTGTTTGAGTGTTGTTTTTTATTTGCTGTTATAATTTTAGAAGTTTTTTAATAGTGGTAGCCAGACTTTGTCACCTCTCAACAAAGGATCCCCCCCAGGTAGTAACAAGTCACATCTAAAAACGGTTAGACCATCAAGGTGGGCAATTAAAACATTCACACCTGGCTCCAAAAGAAAAGAGTTCTTTCACCCACCCTGGACATTCCACGGATATATAAATCTAATTTTCCTAGTTTCCTACAGACCTCACAACCTCTGAGGATGCCTGCCATAGATGCAGGCGAAACGTCAGGAGAGAATGCTTCTGGAATATGGCCAGACAGCCTGGAAAATTCACAGCAACCTAGTAATTCCAACCATGAAAGACTTCGACAACACATCGATATAATATAATTACATATTTATCGTGTCAGGAGCAACATTTAATATAATATAATATTTATATAATATTATGTTGTAGGACCCCCGGTGGTGCAGTGGGTTAAATCCCTGTGCCGGCAGGACTGAAAACTGACAGGTTGCAGGTTCGAATCCGGGGAGACTGCGGATGAGCTCCCTCTATCAACTCCAGCTCCTCATGCGGGGACATGAGAGAAGCCTCCCACAAGGATGGTAAAACATCAAAAACATCTGGGCATCCCCTGGGCAACGTCCTTGCAGATGGCCAATTTTCTCATACCAGAAGCGACTTGCAGTTTCTCAAGTCGCTCCTGACACGACAAAAAAAATCATCATCAAGAATCAATCAAGAATTGGTTCAAGAAGATCTAATAATATAATAATAAGACTCAAGAATTAGTTCAAGGAAATGTAATAATAATATATCTGTGGAATGTCCACTTCCCAAGAAAGGATCCTCCCAGGAAACAACCAGACTTTGAAGCTGCAAGGCCATTCAGTGCTAATCAAGCTGGCTAATTGCAACATTCACACTTGCCTCCAACAGAAAAGAGTTCTTTCTCCCACCCAACAGACCTCACAACCTCTGAGGATGCCTGCCATAGATGCAGGCGAAACGTCAGGAGAGAATGCTTCTCGAACATGGTCATATCGCCCAAAAAACCTACAACAACCCAGTGATTCCGGCCATGAAAGCCTTCGACAATACATTAAATAAGTACTAACGCTCCTGAATTCATTTCGTTTCCTTATATTGTGATCACAACTGTCTTGTTTAAAAATAATGACTATAAGTGATTTTGTCTGTTTTCATTTGGCAACACAACTCACAAATTCTTCCCTTCCCCTTTGGGTAAGCTCTCACCTCTTTCCCTGTCAGGACATGCCGTGCCAACTTGACCTTGGCAAAGTTTCCCTTGCCGATGGTCTTCAACAGGCGATAATTCCCGATATGTGGCTGTTCGTCGGCAGAGGTAGCTGGGGTGCGGCCTCGCAGCATGTTGGACTTTGTGCTGGGCTTGGACTCCGGATGTCCTAAGGCCGTCTGCAAAGAGACAAATGGCCCAGATTAGGTTTGGAAGGTTACAATGCCTTATTACATGAAAAGTCAAATATAATGTGCAAAATCGAACACTTATATTCAATAATAGTCAATAATAAGAACTCTTCTTACAAAACACACAAAAAGGAGTTCTATACAACAATAACACCATCATCAACAACAATTTCTTTCCAGGTACACATCTGAAGCCAGAGAAATGGCACATTATCCAGAAGCTCATAACCAAAGCTTAATCAGCAGTCATTCCATTAAAATACATTATTATTATTATTATTATTATTATTATTATTATTATTATTAGTCATTAAAGATATGGAAAATTAACTTTCTTTTTGAAGAAAAGTTCAGGAAACCCAATAAAAGGGACAGAATGGTCACCCTTTGAAAGTTATTTAAAAGAGAAGGGGAAATAAGAAAATGCAAGATAATATAACTTTTTTCTTCTTTTTTTTTTGGGATGACCATTTGCATGAATGAGTTAAAGGGAGAGGTCAGAGGGTAATGAAATGAGATCATAGAATCATAGAGTTGAAAGAGACCTCATGGGCCATCCAGTCCAACCCCATTCTGCCAAGAAGCAGGAATATTGTATTCAAAGCACCCCTGACAGATGGCCATCCAGCCTCTGTTTAAAAGCCACCAAAGAAGGAGCCTCCACCACACTGCTGAACAGCTCTCACAGTCAGGAAGTTCTTCCTAATGTTCAGATAAGCAAAATAAGTGACATATGCTTAAAGCGAAGACACAGAATGGAAGTCAAAGACATTTTTTTCTTTCTTTCCTCTTTCTCTTCTTTTTTGATCTATGCTCAACTGATTTCTAAAAAATTCTAAAATAATTTTCCTACTATCCTATATTTTATTGTTCCCCCACTTTCCTTGTAATTTTTTTTCTTTTTCTTTTTTTATATGGTTATAACTCAATAAAACCTATTTTAAAATAAAATATATTATTTATTTATTTATTTGCTTTATTTCTATACCGCATTTTTCAGCCTAATTAGGCGACTCAATGCGGTTTACACAATACAGGTTATCACAACAATATCCTAAGCAATTAAAACACATCATACACAACAGACAAAATCAAACAATCATTATCATATCATAACGCCTCAATAACAAATCAGAATCCGTTCTCATAATCCTTGTACCATTTCCTATGTTCAATTTTACCGTCTTCCTGTGTTCATAGAATCATAGAATCAAAGAGTTGGAAGAGACCTCATGGGCCATCCAGTCCAACCCCCTGCCAAGAAGCAGGAATTGCATTCAAATCACCCCTGACAAATGGCCATCCAGCCTCTGCTTAAAAGCTTCCAAAGAAGGAGCCTCCACCACACTCCGGGGCAGAGAGTTCCACTGCTGAACGGCTCTCACAGTCAGGAAGTTCTTCCTCATGTTCAGATGGAATCTCCTCTCTTGTAGTTTGAAGCCATTGTTCCGCGTCCTAGTCTCCAGGGAAGCAGAAAACAAGCTTGCTCCCTCCTCCCTGTGGCTTCCTCTCACATACTTAGACATGGCTATCATATCTCCTCTCAGCCTTCTCTTCTCCAGGTTAAACATGCCCAGCTCCTTAAGCCGCTCCTCATAGGGCTTGTTCTCCAGACCCTTGATCATTTTAGTCGCCCTCCTCTGGACACATTCCAGCTTGTCAATATCTCTCTTGAATTGTGGTGCCCAGAATTGGACACAATATTCCAGGTGTGGTCTAACCAAAGAGGGGTAGCATTACTTCCCTAGATCTAGACACTATGCTCCTATTGATGCAGCCCAAAATCCCATTGGCTTTTTTTGCCGCCACATCACATTGTTGGCTCATGTTTAACTTGTTGTCCACGAGGACTCCAAGATCTTTTTCACACGTACTGCTCTCGAGCCAGGCGTCCCCCATTCTGTATCTTTGCATTTCATTTTTTCTGCCAAAGTGGAGTATCTTGCATTTGTCACTGTTGAACTTCATTTTGTTAGTTTGGGCCCATCTCTCTAATCTGTCAAGATCGTTTTGAATTCTGCTCCTGTCCTCTGGACTATTGGCTATCCCTCCCAATTTGGTGTCGTCTGCAAACTTGATGATCATGCCTTCTAGCCCTTCATCTAAGTCATTAATAAAGATGTTGAACAGGACCGGGCCCAGGACAGAACCCTGCGGCACTCCACAGTTGCACTGTTTAGCCAAACGCTTGTTCGTAGAGCCAAGTCTTAACCTTCCTCCGGAACGCCAACAGCGAAGGGGCCTGTCTGATGTCTACAGGTAAGGCATTCCATAGCCGAGGGGCCACCACCGAGAAGGCCCTGTCCCTCGTCCCCGCGCCTGTGACGCAGGCGGGACCGAGAGCAGGGCCTCCCCGGACGATCTTAATGTCCTAGTCGGTTCATAGGTGGAGATGCGTTCGGAGAGGTAAGTAGGGCCGGAACCGTTTAGGGCTTTATAGGCTAACGCCAGCACCTTGAATTGTGCCCGGTAGCAGATTGGCAGCCAGTGGAGCTGGCTCAACAGAGGAGTGGTATGCTCCCTGAGTGCCGCTCCCGTTAACAACCTGGCTGCCGAGCGCTGGACCATCTGAAGCTTCCGGGCAGTCTTCAAGGGCAACCCCACGTAGAGCGCGTTGCAGTAATCTATGCGGGATGTAACCAGAGCGTGGACTACCGTGGCCAAATCAGACTTCCCAAGGTACGGGCGCAGCTGGCGCACAAGTTTTAATGTTATTATTATTATTATATTTGATACATAACAAGATTAGTACACAGCAAACAAGATCACTATGCTGGCTGTTGCATCGGATCACATGTCGGACACTTCCTAAGTGTCTAGGACTGTGTGATGTGTCGGCGAATAATGCATGCAGATCCGAGCAGGGTGGCCTTTTGCAGCTGGCAGATGGGAATTTTGTCGGCACTATTTGTTTTTAAGGACCAGGACATCTGTAGGGATACCAAGGTGCTTGTTTATAAAGCTACTAGCCGTCCCCTGCCATGCGTTGCTGTGGCCCAGTCTGTTGAACTGGAAAATAAAGTAATGAGAAAGTGTTGGTTTCTAATATATGTAATTACTTTATGCTTGTGGGTAAACACTATTTCTTGCTGTTTCTTTGTCAGTGTTGATGTGGAGATTGTCTGGTTTGCCCACCCTGGAACATGCAACATATCACTGTCCTTCTTTAAGGGTCCCTTTCACATCTACGATACTATATCTCTGCGTGTCTGAATCATATCTATCTATCTATCTATCTATCTATCTATCTATCTATCTATCTATCTATCTATCTATCGCTGGATGGCTCTTTGTCAGGTGGACTTTGATTACGTTTTCTTGCCCTGATGAAGGGAGTTGGATGGCCTTAAGTATTTTCTGTTGGTCATGGGGGTTCTGTGTGGGAAGTTTGCCCCGATTCTGTCATTCGTGAGGTTCAGAATGCTCTTTGATTGTAGGTGAACTGTGAATCCCAGTGACTACAACTCCCAAATGTCAAGGTCTATTTTCCCCAAACTCCATCTGTGTTCATATTTGGGGATATTGAGTATTTGTGCCAAGTTTGGTCCAGATCCATCATTGTTTGAGTCCACACTGCTCTCTGGATGTGAGTGAACTATAACTCCCAAACTCAAGGTCAATGCCCACCAAACCCTTCCAGTATTTTCTGTTCGTTATGGGAGTTCTGTGTGATAAGTTTGGTTCAATTCCATTGTTGGTGGGGTTCAGAATGCTCTTGGATTGTAGGTGGACTATAAATCCCAGCAACTACAACTCCCAAATGACAAAATCTTTCTTACCCCAACCCCACCAGTATTCATATGTGGGCGTATCGGGTATTTGCGCCAAATTTTGGTCCAATGAATGAAAATACATCCTGCATATCAGATATTTACATTGCAATTCATAACTGTAGCAAAATTACAGTTAGGAAGTAGCAACAAAAATAATTTTATATTTGGGGGTCACCACAACACGAGGAACTGTCTTACGGGGTCGGGACATTCGGAAAGTTGAGAACCACCGCAATATATAATATTATATTATTTCCACAGTGCAGTTGACAAGGTGGAACCGTCTTCCTGACCCCCTCTCTTCATATAATTATAGTAGCATATTATTATTATTATTATTATTATTATTACTATCATGTTGTATTACATTATAATATTATATATAAGATCTTCTCTGCCAAAGGGGTTCCTGAGACCATCAGAAATATGTGTTTCCTGATGGTCTTTCGCGACCCCTCTGAAAACCCCCTCGCGACCCCCCCAGGGGTCCCAACCTCGAAGTTGAGAAACGCTGGATTAGGGGATTTTGAGATTTCATCATACACTCGATAATAGATTATTATGAGTCTGTGATACAGCATGACTCCTCTCATAGGTAAACATTATAGTTGAGAGGATTCAAACTATACCCTCCGTTGGAGATTATATTCAAGATATCTTCAGCCATCCGGGTAACCCGTTCCAGACGGCTCCCTTCCCTCTTGACCTCGCAGAGCCTTGCCTTTGTTTGAGGTCTCATCAGATCCACCCACGGCAGAACCCCAACAGACACAGTCTGCATTCAAATCCAATGAGGCAGTCAAGTAATGCTCTCAAGAATTAGGGTTTGGTTGTGCCATCCCTTCATCAACGCTTAGTGTTCTTTTCATCCTTCCCTGCCCAGCTTGAGCCTAAATTATAAATGAGTGATGCAGTGTTGGATTCGGCTCCTCTTGGGTGTTTTTGGAAGAGTGGCTCAGCTGTTGCTGTAGACCCAAGGGAGTAGCAGCCTACAACTCAATTGAAAGGCGAGCTAAATTTGGGGCATAAACACAGAAAAGGGTGAGCGGCCTTTCATACCCAAATCCCCAAGTTTGTCTGCATTCAGTCCAGACCCCCCTGTGGGGTCGCGAGGGGGTGTTAGAGGGGTCGCCAAAGACCATCAGAAAACATAGTATTTTCTGTTGATCATGGGGGTTCTGTGTGGAAAGTTTGGCCCAATTCTATTGGTGGGGT